AGCAGAAGAGCACAAAATGATTTGTACTGGAACCTGCAGCTTATCAGGAAAATGATGTTTGGCAGGGACACAGCAAATGTCTGGCAGAACGTAGCACACTTCCAGATCTGGCGGCTGCAGAGGCAGAGCTGCTTCCAGCAGGGCTGCAGGTAGCAGGAGGCTGATTAATGGCAGCCAGGCCGTGGACCTGCAACGGGCAGAGAGTCCCTGTGCCTGGGGGGCATGGCAGCTTGCGGGAGCCGTGGGCATGGGTGGCACAAGTACTTCACAGCTGTAGCTCTAAGAGCAAACCTGTGCCCAGAGGAGTGCTCACCTCCTATTCCCCAACCCCTCAGCCCTCACAGTAGAACAGTTTTTCCTTCACTGTTTTTCCCAGTTCTTTTGGGCTAATTGTAGCTTCTCAGCATGGTCACTAAGCAAGGAAAAAAAAAAAAAAAAAGCTCTTCCAGACAGCTGGAAGCCCTCCTGATCTCAGAGGGAAAACAAGCATGCCCCCACCCCTGCAGCCCTCCCTCAGTCCCAGACCCCATCCACACAAACCACAACCTTCTTCCCCTTTTTATAGCTGGCAGTTGCTGTTGCTAAACTAACAAGTGCCAGTGGCATCTCTTAGCCCACCCATTTAATCCCTGGCTGCCACGCAGGAGTGCAACACTCTGGGCAGTGACTGGACCCCACACCTGTAACACACCACCCCACAGCCTCCCCTTCAAGCACACGAATAAATCAACATGCTGCAAACTCTACTCACTTGTTACTCTTGGGCAGAGACACACGATTCATCTCTTTTCATACATTCATCCTCTAACTTTTCATCATCTGCACTGTTCTCACACCACCTTCCAGTTTCTGCACAGCATACTGGTGGTGAGGTATTATTACAAATGGCAAAGACCAAGGCAATGTTCAGAAAACCACACCATTTGCTGCAGAGGTGGTTGACAGAGAGAGGCCAGGTAAACATGAAAGGAAGGGCTTAGTTTGGATCAACCGAGCCCAATCAGTCAGCACGACAGCTCAGGCTGAGGAGATAACGCTCCATTTGCATTTATACTCTAACCTCTTCTCTCAAGAGAATGTTAGGATGTTTGCCTAGATGTTACAAATTACTTGGGGAAAAAAAAAAAAAAAAAGTGCCTCGATGCAAATAGCAATTATAGTGTGTTGATTGTTTTGGCTCTTTCTGCAGTGAAACAAAACACTAGCTCACAGCAAGGGACTTAGGTGCTGTCGGGGGAAACTCCTGCAGGGCTCTCCAGGAGCTGAAGGTTTTGAGTGTTGTGTGCTGACAGTCATGGCCATATTAGAAGAATCTTTGCTGACAAAAACCAAGCAGGATTAATCACTAAGCTCACAGAAAATGAGAGGGAAGCACAAAACGGGAGGATGAGGTGAGATCCAGGGATATCCAGTATCCTAGGACGATTTTTTGCATTTTATCTGGCCAGACGCCACACAAAGGCAGCCTGCCACATCCCTGCTTGCGTGGTAGCAGCTTCTGTGTGTTAGACTGTATGGCAGTCGAGTATAGATGGCCCAGTGGGACAGCTGGTAAAAGGCAGAGCTTTATTAGTAATCACAGAGAGTTTGCAAAAGGCTTTGGCTGTTTGCTTTCAGCCTTCTCTTGACCCTGTGATTAGGGATGCACTGATCGTTATTTGCTTATTAAGACTCGAAAACAGAGGGCAGAAATTTGCTCTGCTCCTTTTCACAATCAGCAAGTGTTCATATGAGCTTTTAGATTACACAAGAGATGCAGTAACTACTGAAATGACATTTTCCAGGGACATTACAAGCTTTAGGACATGTCCTGCATGACTGGAATGAACCAAAGCTAACATTTCGTCTTTGTTTAGATATTAAACTGAAGTTCATTGAACCATTTCTTCCTTTCATGCAGGGAGACCTTTAAAGCCATGTACTCAAGTACAGGCTTGAGATGACCTGTAAGGCTTGGTAACCGTAACCAGGTCTTTGAAAGAAAAGGTGTAAGCCTCCTTGCAGCCCTGGGTTAAGACCAAGACCCAGGGAGAGTGGCATTTGAGATCTAATCGTGTCTTCCTGCTTTCTATAAGTTAATTTTGTGGTGGCTGTTTTGGATCCTGTTTTGAGATTATTCCCTTAGAGTATCTTCATTTCTGATAGGAACTGTCTCTCTGAGGATAACTTGTGTGTCAATCCATCTCCCAGTGCAATCTGAGTGATAGAATTCCTGAAACTAGTTTCCAACTGTATCACAGTACACTTCCCTGAACGTGTCATGAACGGTCCTCAAACAATGTTTTGAGTTTCTTAGACTGTAACATTCAAAATGTGATATCTAAATTGTTAATGTTCTCTAAAGTAGTGCACAGCCATTTTAATAACCTCAATGTACTCTATAAATAATAAAAAAAATTCTTTGTATATCCCTCAGTGACCAAAATGGAAAATGAGACCTCAAATGTTCCTCTTAACAAATTCCAAGTCAGTTCCCTAATGTGGCATAATATTAGAAGAAAACATGTAACCCAAGGATAATGCTATGCTCAATATTTTATTTATATTTTTATGTAAACATAATTTGCTTTGTAGGCACAATATAACAAAAGCTCTAAAGCAACAAACACAATTAAACAGTGTTTCAGTTCACTTCAATCAGGCTTAAGTTAAAGAGAAGCTTTCACAGTTCCTTTAAGGCAAATTGAGAAATAATTTGTTTCACTTGAAGAAACTATCCAATTGTCTTAGAGTTGTTTAAACAACACTGTCAGTAGTAAGCACAAACCTTCATTTCTACTCCAGTAAGACTTGGTTGGAAACAAGTCTCAGCATCGTCATTTTGTATAGGATGCCCTCTGCCACTTCAGACGCGATACTACTGTTTGTGGTATTATAAAAGGTACTTAGGGCTTGTGGACCAAATTCTGCCAGCACAAATCCAGAACAGATACCTGAAAAATTTCCATTCATTTCAGTAGTAACCTTCATAACCTTCATATATGCCATATTAATACCAGTAAGACACAGAGTAGAGTTTAGCTTGCTGATGGTAATACTCATCTGTGTTGCACTTAGGTAGATCCAAAATTATTTCTTTGTACTCACTGCAATTACCTGATACTCTGCCGATCAGAAAATGGCCCTAAAATTGGTATGAATTAGCGTGAAGAGTATTTTTGCCTTGCTAACAAAACCAGAAAGAACTAGCCAAAATTATTTCATTTGATTGTTGTCCCTATGGTGTCTGTGGCCACGACCAAGATCACCCATCTTTATTTGTCTTGAAGGGTAATTTAACTGTAGAGCCAACCATACTGCGGTTTGTAACAGAAGAACGGATTTGCTATTCTGCTTGCCCTACTAATTTAAGGCCTTGAGAATGCCACTTTACTGCCAGCTCGAAGGTCACCAGCAATATTGCTCACTTTGGCGTCAAATCAAAATTCCTAGTTATGTTAAGGTTTGTTGCAGGAACAACATCATTACACTAACTGCAAAATAAAATTGGTCATGTTTCCTACCATTGTCAGCTTATGAGTAGTGAAAACTTAATGGCCTTTCTTAGAAGCCCAACTGGCAAGCCCAATACATGGAAAACTCTCACTGAATATATATTTTTTCTGAGGATAAAGTCCCTGTTTGGGCCTGATATGGCACTGGAAGTGTACGTAAGTCCAGCTTGAAAAGAAAATAAACTATAATAAAGTTCTGCATCAACATCTAGAGAAAACTGATGTTCTGGTTCAATTAATATTTCAATAACTTTTTTTGGCATTTTTCTCCACAGCTGTTTCTTCTCATTAATTTGAATTTGTTTAATCCAAGGGAAAATCCATCAGAATGAACATTCTGCACAGTTATCTGGTATTAGAACAGCAACTTCATGAGTACAGTGTAAAGAGATGGACATTAATACTCAGGCAGCAAGATGAAACAAATAGAAAAAAACAAGAGAGAATCTTCTGAAACCACACATAAAAGTCATCCAGACCCACAAGTGCTTTCACATTGAGAAAAGCCCGAGAAGCCCCCCCTCTCCGCTTTTCTATATTAGTTTTATCTTCTATCGCTACAGGATACTTGTAGATTTATGTGAACAACTAGTCATGCCTGGGGAAATACTTTCTTTTGAAAAAAATATATTAATTCAAAGACACATGGCATTATACAAAGTGTCTGACATCCCTTTAGCATTTCTACTGTAGGTGTTGCAGTCATTTTAAAATAATTGTGTTAACAAGACAATTGAGGACCTGAGTAGCTGCTGCTTGGATAGGTGAAAGACATGGAGAAAATACTTACTTTTGTCATGTTTAGATATAGTTTCCACTAGTGGGAGGTAGATAAGACTAGCTGGTCTTTGAATGCTTAATCCTGCAAATAATTACAAACATAACTGTACATATGGAGCAGAGCTTTCAATAGAACTACTCACCTAGATAAAGTTGTCCCTGTGCTTAATTTCTGATGGGATTAAGGCCTAAAACTCTGTTGTACCAGGGTTAACTTCTGTCGGAGTTCAGCTCCAGCTTGACAGTTGATCAACACATTAGCGATTTCAGAGCGGTAAACTCCATCAACAAATTTCTTTCCACATACTGATGAGTGATCCTTACCAATATGATTTAAAAATGAAATTAAAAATTGGTTTGGATTTTGGACACAAAGGTGTCCTCAGCAGAATATGTTGATCTGTCAATAACGATACTAATTGCTACAGGCAATTAAAGTTCTGGGTCTAAAAATAGTGGCTCACTGACCTTTTTCTTTGCCTGTAACATACAGGGTGTTAGCTCAGATCAACAGGAAAGCATGATAGTTGGCACTCAGAATGAAGTGTTTAATTACTGGTGCTGAAGACTAATGTGATTATACAATACTAATCAAAGTCTCTCAATTAATGATTTGTTGCACAATTTCAGATTCCACAATTCCAAATGAGGTATTTTTGAAAATGAAGATAGAATTGCTTATAAAATGATAAAGCATGACTGAGGAAAATGAAAACTCATCTTTTTTTGCAACTTTTATCTGTGGTTCATAAAAGGAAAACTATTTTAACACTGAAAATCCACAAACTTAAAATCCTCCTCCAGTTACTAGAATCTTCCAGACAGCAAGTGGGGATTTTTTTTGTTACTGTTTCCAACTTGCAAAGAAAGCCCAAACTCCCCAAATAACTTCATGCAAAATGTTGGAATTTGCTTGAGAAAGATGCCCATCTAAAATTACACAGTAAGTTAATAAGGCTTTTAAACCGGAAAAGAAAAATCCATGTGACTCCTACAGGGAAACTGGGTATTACACAGGAATGTCATAATACTGCACTGGGTGAGAATGGCACTTGAGTTCAAAACAACAATGATCAACAGCTCATAGCTCAGCTGACTGCAGACAAATACAACACACACTGTACTACAGCATTTGTTCACTGATGCACAGAATAGATTTTCCAGTCTTGTTCCCTTCTACTTCATCAATCTTTCTGCTTCCACCACCTCTGGCTGTTACTGGATGAATGGCATGCGCTCTTTATTCTCATTGTCCCCTTCATGGTCTTCTTCCTCTTCTCCAGCCTCACTTGTCTCTGTGCTGTCGTTGGCCATCTGTAGGATGAAAGACAAAGGACACCAGGGCACCTTTCGTATTGTTTTATTCATTCTCATTTCAGTTTGACTCATTTGATCAAGTGACTTTAAAAATGAAAGAAGACACGATTGCAACATGAAAAGAAACATTCTGTCTGTGCAAAACTTGGGTTGGCACTACACCACTTCCAGCTAAAATTGTAAGCTGTCCCCTCACGGCTTACCACTGAATTACTAACAGAAGCTGCTTTGTAGGACAGTTGCACAAGCAGACTCTGATCCATGCACTTGTAGAAAACTGGTATTAAGGCTCTCAGATAGGAAATACGACTGTGTAGGAAGTCCACAGGATGCGTGAGACCTCTGGTTTACAGCTCCTTCCGTATCTGCTCTTCCAGAAACAGGCAACACTATTCTTTAACACCAGCTAATGGATGGGATCTGGGCCCGCGTGAGGCATAGTGGCGTAAAAACTCAGAGAGCAACTGTTTTATGTGAAAAACAATGAAACTTTACAGAGCAGTGGATATGTAGATGCTGGCAGAATATACCCATGACAGAGTGCAAATCTTGGATCATGTAGGACTGGGGAGAAGCTGCCTTTCCATATGTTACTGAAGAAGTCTGTACAGGTAGCAGGCAATTGCAGAAGTTTGTAGTTCAGGATAGCATTCAAGGAGCACATCATGTTTTTTCACATGGGAATATTTATTACAAGGTGGGTAAAGGTGCAAGACTCTCCTGTACTTCACCCTGTCAGTTTGACTTGTCTCTGGAGGCACAAGAATCAGGTTCACTGGACAGGTGGTAGTGTTTAACAGCATAGATTAGTATGAATGAATTCTCTTATACACCAACATTACCCCTCTTAGGACACAAGAAGATTCTTGTATTAGCTTAAAACTATTTCAAAGCCAACTAAGCGAGGGACCCAGTTACTTTAAGAGAAATGCAGTGACATCATACCTTCCCTATTTGATTACTAGACTCTGCTGGAAACAAAAATCTCAAATACAACCTGGTTTTAATGGAGAAAAACAATGCTCTGAAGTAACCCCCATTTTTGAATTAACACTGTTTCATGAAAGTGCATCAAATTTGTTCTCACCTTCTCACCAATGCCTACTGTGAATATACAATACCAAGAGAACAGATGGAATAAATGTATTAATGTTGTGCTACGGCTTCTTGTTTACAGTTTGAAGATGCAATTCATCTACAAAATAATGCCCAGTTTCCATATGTGAGGTCCCAAAAGCCTTCCTTTTCCTTCCAGCTATTTTGTATGAGATTTGGGGCCAATTTTAGAGTAAGTGCGAGTAAGAACTTAACTGAAATTCCAGATTCTTTTCTCTATCCTTTTGAAACAGGAAATATCTCAGGACTGAGAAGCAACTTCATACATCAATACTGATCTGAAGTCAGTTTTTCCTGATCTTCTTTACTGCTCTTTCCTACATCATCAGTGAATGTTTAGGCGTGAGCCTGACTTTCATTTACTGGTGCTCTCTGGCATATTTCAGTACCGTGTTAAGTACTCGAAATCCAGTGGACCAGAGCTCCATCACAACTATCTTCCTTCAGAACTCTTCTAGAAGGAAGGATTTAGATAGTATACTTCATATATTATAAAAAAAGTAAAAGAAATTCCTACCAAAGGTATGCTCTGACTTTTGTATGGGAATGAGAAAGCACTTCTACATTTGTACACTGAATTAATATTGACTGTGTCTTTTTCTGTTCAATCCACTTATTAATACAGGAATTTTGTATTATGTGAAATATCTATTTGTTTTCCACCACAAGGACAGAAATAGATGTGGCAGTTCTACCCTGATCTAAGACTTGCAGACACATTTTTGGAGAGGCAGATAGCCATTCAGCACAGAAAAGTAACTGCTGGGACTCTAGGAATTACAATTATATTTCACTTTGGGTTAAATATACAAATTATGATTATTGGTTGTATGTAGGTGCTATGGATTTAGAGGAAAACAGTATAAAAAAATCGTAAGGGACGTGTCTCCAAAAGTCACTACCATGCTCTTAACTTGTGTGACTGAACACCATCTATGTAGCGCTTTGCACTCACCAGGGGAGTGGGGGCTTTCTCCACATCCAGGATTAGCTTTCCTATATTTCCTCGGTCATGGATTCTCTGCATGGCCTCCTTCACCTGAAAGAAAGACAATCTATTGATAATTTTCAGGCGCACACTAAGAGAAGCCTGAAACCAGCAATACATTTAAGGCATGCTATGTGCAAGGTCATTCAAACAGCTGCCTGAAAAAAAATTACTAGTTAAACATTTTGTAGTGAATTTGTAAGGCCTGATTTTTGCATTGTGTTTGCCAAAATGGGATGTGAGTCTTGATGACAGTTTCTGAATACCGTAATACATACCTAATGCTAATGCAGTACAGAAGTAATAGTTAGCTGAGGTGCAGAGAGAAATACAGGCTCAGGGAGTTAATCCTTACAGGTTGTTCATTAGATTTTCTCTTAGCAGAATATTTATCAAGAAACCCTACTTTCACTGGAAGTGCAAAATGCTTTTTAATTTATTTTGCATTCCTATAGATGGAATGCTGTATCTAGGCAGCGGTTGTGATTAATGCAATACTGTGGTTCTCACTGCAGAATCGAGTATTTCTTTCCTTCTTTTTTCCACTTTTTTTCATTTTTTCTTTTAAATAAGTAGTGTCCTACAGATACCACTAAGACCAGACATTTAACAGCTGGCTGCAATTAGCACGTGTGAGAAAGGAACAAAAACCTCTTCTTGCGAGTGCACTGGAGAGGAGCTTATTTTGATGTATGAAGTTTCAGAACTCGTGAGAGCTCAGTGTTGATGAATTGAAATTGTGTGTGTGTTGCACTGAATGTTCAATGTGCAGCATGCAGACCACCATTAAATCACTGAAAACTGCAAGATGTCAAGAGTTTCCTCACTTTCGTGGTGGGAAACTTCAGGCACTGAAAATGTACACATAGAGGCTGTTCCATATCCTCATCACACTCGTTTTTGCTGGCATAACAGGATATGTTGAGACAAGAAAGAGTTTTATGTTAATAGGATCTACCATCTGTGACACAGTTTTATTGAATACTTAAGAATAATGGCATAGAAGTTTGGAACAATATGCTGACTTGGGAACAGGTGGGTCCCACAGTACATTTAAAAGCTTGAATTGGGGTCCAGGCAATCAAACCTCAGATCATTACTGAATGTCTAATACATAAGAAGGTATGAGATTTTTAAAGATACCAAGCGAATACAGTTTTCAACTTCCAATTAACTTTAATGGATGCTGGGCACAAAATGTCTTTACCATCTGTCAGCCTTATTTTGAAAACTGACTGCATTGAACTCAATATTACAACCTTAATTTTGCCAAGTGGTTCCCTCAATTAGTAAATACCAGACTTAACAAAAAATCTGTTGGAACAAAAGAAAAAATGAACTGCAAAACACAACTTAGGGTGTAACTGTAAATTAACCTTGGAAAACACAGTCTTATGAATCCCACTAGATAGAAGGTTGACCTCTAAATGTAGTCCACAAAATCACAGTAATTTTTATGAAGATCCTGTACAGCGTAAACAATACCTAACTATCCTATAAGACTTGTTCTGCACTATGGACAATATTCCTTTAAGTATATCCAACAAAGACTCTGAAGAAGCAGCAGCTGTATTATTTTTTATGGCTCTTATTAGCCAAATCAAGCTTTCAGGAGTCTATAGCACAGCATAAATAACCAACATAGAAGCGACAGACCTGGGGAAATCGGCACACACACTTGCCCGTCCGTTGAAATTTACTACCAGAACATCATGCGGAAAGCAGGGTATGCAACATTTATTTTCATTTGTACCATATCATATTTAGCAAGGCAAATTTGAGAAAATGTGCTTTCCCTGCATTTTTCACATACAGGGTATCAAATTTAAGACTCTGGAGAAAGGTTCAGGAGTTGTTTCCAGGACACTTGTAAGTAGCTTGCAAATGCAAAGAGCAGGCAGAGGCAAAGGGAACAATAAAACTTCTAATAGTGGCTATGGAATCCAGATGGAGCTATTCAAATATATAAAAAAATTGAAAAAAAGTTTGAAGAGCTGATACAACATCTGTATATTTTAGTGTTATTTGCAACTCAGCTACCCAGTTAGACAAATTCTGTACAAGTGCAATGCCATTCATTATGTTACATCTGAGTTATGACCATGAGCTATTTTATAAATGAGTAATTTTTATGTTTATGGCTGCTAACAGTCCACTTATTCAACCAAGACTGCAACTACTTGTTTCCCAAGGTGCCGGAATATTAAAACCCTTCCCTCGTATACTACGGAGGGCAGACAGCATTAAAAACCTTCTTTGCTATGCAAGTAGGGTTAAGGCTTAAGTTGCTCTATGCAGACTATATAAAAGCATTTACTTTTTCATGTCAACATTTAAGCGCTGCCTACAGTCTGCCTTGCGTGAGTGTGGTATGGAGCTTGTGCTAAGTCTGTGCCTGACTTTTTGCACGTTACCAACGAAGACAGTGAATCTCTGCGCTTGGTTAAAATCAGACCCAGGCCTAACTGGTAGTACAGTGAGCCATGCAGAAATCCTGGAATTTACTGGGGTTTCTCTGAAGTGGTTGAAGTTTGCTTCAACATAAATACCACTTACAGTAGCAAGAATCAAAAGGGTTTCCCCTTCTTACAGAATTGAGTCCCTAAATTACTTTTCAACAATTATTCTATATCAGTTGTTATTTGCATTTGTCAGCTCAAATCCAAGTAAATGGATCCGATGTACTTTTGTTTATACGGATGAGTTAATTGAATTTCTTCTTGTGCAGTATCATCAGCAGAGGGCTCCTGGATTGGAAATAGCGCAAAGGAGTGTTTACTAATATAAAGAGTTTCCATGGGAATAAAGGAACAACATTCTGTTGGCCTTTCTTTGCTCGCAGTATATCTCAGCCCTTAGAAGGTGTGGGTCTAAACTAATGCTGAACTACAGATTTTAGTCTTGAGAGCCCCAAAATTGACACAATATGCATCACAGAGCTCTGCACTAAAATCAGAAGTATTTTTACACATTAGTGGACAACTGGAAAACGCTTCCACTTTCCATGTTATTTATGTAAGGCAAGTTGGCAAACCAGTTACTGAAAACCAAGAAAGACCCAGACTGCTGCACAGCCATGCGCTGTCTGATGCATCCAACACAGGCACTCCTGGGCAGCAGGAGGAAAATAATAGCAAAGGAAAAAGAAAAGGAATCCCAAGTTTGCCTTTTCCCTCAAGCACACTTGCATCAATTTGTATTTTAGTTTGACACACTGTTTTTAAGCGCGCTGTATAGTAGAATCATCTTCCCCTATCTGTTCAGTCTAGTGGAAAGCGGTAACAAACACAAGAAAAGGACCTTTCTAGCTCAGTTTGAAACAATTTGCATTTGCTTTAGGGAATATGCTTTTATAACTGGAGAAATAACTTTGAACAAGTATACTTCTCCCATCTCTTTCAGCTCTACAAACAGTACAGTCATGGATGTATTATCACATATCCTCATTCAAGAGTTTTTCAGCAATGACAGTGGATCTGGAAATTAAGATGACCTATGCAATAATGAGGTCATCTGTAAAACAAAAAATATGGTCTAGAAAGACAAAACCAATGTACCTCGGGGTCCTTCACAAGTCATGCTTAGCATGCCCTGAGAAATATTCAAATTCTCATTTTGCATCATAACTCCCCAAGTGCTGCAGATTTTCTGGGCCTTCTACAAGCTCCTTCCTCATAGCACTCTGCTGAACCCAAGCAGAGAGGCACAGAATGTAAAACGTACAGAGCTTCACTGGGAATGTACAGACCCATTGCACTGTGTTAGCATTACAAGCAAAATTTAACAGCTTTATCATTTCTTAGAAAATTTTAATCTACTAACACACACTTGCACATTTAAAAAGGTGTTATGCTACCAATGCTACCAACAAAATTCTTCAAAGAAGCCTTGATGCAAACACAGGCTAAAAAAAAATCACAAAGCTGGCAAAGAAGGCCTGTTGTGAAGAAGCCTATTTGAGTATATTTTCCTAAGGGGATGTTATGGTCAGGATCTCAGAACTTCTTTTGGATCAGAGCCACTTCTGTCCATCTGTATTGTGTATCACACTGAGAAGAGCAACAATAACTGTCAACAGACCTTGGTAGGAGAGTAAGGGCAGAAATGCCTTCATGTTACCCATCAGAGAAGGTTCTAAAAGAGGTTTCATGACAGCTGTGTTCTCTGGAAGTATAAAGCTTGACAGCCGTACTGAATCTTCTCCAACACCACCATGGTGTCTCTCTTCGGGTACTTCTCACAAGTATCAGGAAATTTGGATATTGTGTCCTCTTTAAAATTTCTTATACTGATACACAGTAAAGAATAGGATTTTGGAAATTCTAAGGATGGATGTCTGGAATTCCACGAGGATCGAACAGATTTTTAAAACCTGGATTGAGAAAGCTCAATACTTGTTCCTCCCAATGAGAACTTTGGCAATAACTGGCTGTGCCAATAGTTGTTTGCAAATTCAGAAATGATGCCACACTCAGGGTAATGGCAATCAACACTCTGCTCAACCTTCCTTCACTGATGAAAAATTTAAAATCATTGAATATTGTAATCCTGTCCGGTTCATACAAGAGCAACGCAAAGAAATCAACAAGAAAATCTCAGCACATCCCAGGACAATGCTTCACCTAGACTGGTGTACGTATTTCGGGGTATTCTGTTTGTGTGTTGTGGGTGTTTATTTCTGTGCTTTGTGATGGGGAAAAGATCAGTTTGGTCTTTACTTTGTGGGTTTTTTTAAAGATATATTTTCAATGGAGTAGGTTGCTAAAATGATTCGTTCAGTGTTGCTGATTGTATTGGATTTGGGGAATTTGATATTAGAAAGGCTGCTTATGTACCTTGAAATTACTGACACTTAGGTCTTGATGCTACCTATTACCAAAACAAGCCTAAAAAGATGACACAAAAATAATTTTTAAAGTTTGTCTGTGAAATTTTAAAATTGTAGATTATGCATCAAATTACTGCAGCAAAGAGAATGTTTTCAACTAGGCTGTAGTTCACAGAGATGCCTAAAAAGTCCGAAATTAACAAAACAGCTAATTTAGTAGTTT